GTGGGGCCTGGGCGTTCCCTCGGGGCTTCCTCCCCTGACCCCAGCAAGCAGCACACCCTCCTGGCTGCGTTTCTCCTGCCAACATCCAAGCTTCCCACCTTGCGGCTCACCAGCACTGTGTGAGGACCCAAACACCGCCCGGCCGTTCAGGCTGCCCCCTGGACCATACGTGAGGCTCAGGAGCTGCTTCTTTCTAAGGAGGACGTGACATAGCAGAACAGGGCAAGGCTGCTCATCCACCAGATGCACCTGCCAGGGAATCTGGCTAGGACCAAAACTTTGTATCTCATACGTGGTGGACACCAAGATGCAGTGGGGGCCTCGTTTTCAGTGTCTTCCCCGCTCAGGCCAGCCTGAAACCCCTGGAAGTTTCCTGGCCTGATGGGCAGCATTAGTGGACATGTGGGGAGACGGCACAGATGGTTGTGGCCACGCAGGCTCAGCCACCAGAAGATCCAGGACATGGAAAAGGAGCCAAGGAAACGCAGTTGGGGGTAGCTCTGGGGATCCAAGAACCACAAGCTGAAACTGCACAGAGCAGGGACTGTGGGCTCACACCCATGCCTCATGACCCATGTTGGCCCCTTCCGTTCTCTGCCATCTGTTTCCCTTTGCGGGTCCGACTCCTTCAGGACCGTCCTACCTGCCTCCAGGCCACAGTGTTCAGAGCAGCAGGACCCTCTCTCCATGATCAGGGCCTGGGGCTGGGATTTGAGCAGCCAGAAGAGCAGTCACACTCCTCAAACATGGTCAACCGAGGGCTCATGTGGCACCTTCCAGCCCTTTCTAGGAACTTGGGTCCTGTTTTTGACCCATGTCAGTGTCGCCAGTCTACACAGCCTGACCCTCAGAGGGTCCTGGGCATCAACGATGGGGGCTTTTGAGTTGAACCCAGCAGGTCTCTCTCCTGTGACTTGGAGAGGAGTAGGCAGCAACCCTCTCCCCAACAGCCCACGTGCCTCTAAAGCCCTGTCCACAGTTCTGCCCCAGACTCAGGCTGCACAGCCTAATTATAAGAAACTGGCCACACAGGGACTCCTGGGGGGCTCAGTCGGTTGTGTCTGACTCTTGATTTTGGCTCAGGTCATGATCTCAGGGGTCCTGGGATTGAGCCCTGAATCAGGCTCAACGCTCAGCGGGGAGTCTGCTTGGGGATTCTCTCTCCTTCTCCCTCTGCCCCTCCCCCAACTCACACACACTCGCTCGCTCTCTCTTTCTCCCTTTCTTGCAAATAAATAAATCTTAAAAAAAAAAAAAAGAGGGGTGCCTGGGTGGCTCAGTTGGTTGGGCGTCTGCCTTCAGCTCAGGTCATGGCCCCAGGGTCCTGGGATCGAGCTTAGGGTCAGGCTCCCTGCTCAGTGGGGTGTCTGCTTCTCCCTCTCCCTTTGCCCCTCCCCTCTGCTTGTGCTCTCACTCTCTCTCTCTCTCTCTCTCTCAAATGAATAGATTAAAATCTTTAAAAAAAAAATAAAGGTGATGTGTCAGTTTTCCTTATTTATGGAAAAAAAAAAAAAAAAGAAAGAAACTGGTCACATACACCATCATCAGCCTTTTCCTCCCCTTGGCAGGTAACCAGTAAGCTTTTCAGCCAAACACTCTGAAGAAAACCCTGAGCCAATGAAGAGTTCACAGTGTGGCGCCCACTTGGCAGTCCCAATAACTGACGCCTTGTTTATTCTCACCAATGCTCACTCTTATCATACAGCATGTGTTTCAACCACTCTGCAAATGTCATCTGTCCAGAAAGAGAAAGCGGTTGTTTTTTTCTTATCGTGCAGGGGATGGAGCTCCCTTACAGATTGTTAACATTATGTTGAAAGGAGAAGACAGGTAACTCAGACGCCGAACATGGAGCATGTACATGACTTGCCTTGGGATTCCCCTGTCGCAGGGAAGGGGGGTGGGAGGCAGCAGAGACGTGTGGTGGCATTGGTGCCATCGGATGGAAAAGGAGGCTAGGGGTTGTGGTTTATGTTGTTCAGCAAGCCCACTGTTTCTATCTAGGTTGCGCATTCATCTGAGGGCTTGGGAGGGGCTGGTGGTGGTTATATTGAAGCCGAGTCCCCGCCGCCCCATAAGTCCCCCCACCATGGTGCCAATTCTGGTGGCTCCTGGCAGTCCTATGTCCTCATGTGTGACGCAGAGGTGCGGACCCTTAGGTGTCTTTCCCCATCACTCCACAGAGCTGTCCAGAGTGCTGAAGTGCAGCCCACTGGGCATACGCAGACCCCGTCCTCAAGGCACCCAAGGCTGCAGACCTTCACTTGCTCAGAGCTAGGGGTGGGCTTTGCTTTGGCTTTTATCCAAGCAGTGCATCGAGGAGTAGCTTCCTCCACAGAAAAAGTAGGGACAGTGGGCCCCTGGCAAGGGGGGGAGCATGTTACATTTCCTTCATTAAGTTTCTGTCTTTATTCCAAAATGGCATATGGGATGGGGTCAATCTTTGCCAAATGAGCTATAATAAGTTTAAAGGCCGAGAACGTACAGCCTGTGGCACATTCAGGCTCCACCTAAGGTCTGTTGTTGGGTTTTCCACAAGACTTTTTCTTTTCAAAGGGGGCAGTTGCAGCCAGGTTGGCTTTATTGGGTAAAAGTGGCCAAGAGGTCAGAGATGCCCTGAGCCCCAGGCTCTGTCCATCAGGAATGTTCTCTCCAGCCTTTAAGTGGACCAACCTGGAAAACCTCTTGAGGCTCAGCATCCTTCTGTCCAGTCTGCACAGATAAAAAAAGGACAGGCCCCACGGCCCACCACCCTCCAGGCTGTGAGGACAGTGCCAGGAGGTCACAGCTGTAGGGCTTGACATCTCCCTAAGCACATCCTCACCCAGCTCCACTGGCTGGCAGGGTGCCTTTTGTGAGTGGCTCCTGAGTCCCACTCTTGGCCAAATCTGGCATGACTCATTTGCTCCAGAAAATGAATATAAATAAGCACCACCGTACCTTGACAAGTTGACAGGATTGACAAGCAGAGTAAATTCCTGTATCTGAGACTCTGAGGAGGAGAGGTGATTTAGCAGAGCCAGCTGCCATCACCAGAAGAAAATAATTAAGGAAACCCAGCAGCGTGGAGGGAAAATTGAGTGTGCAGCGGGTCCCTTCTGCTGAAGGGATCTGTGATGACTGGCTGCAGGAGGAAACCCTCACATGCCAGAAAGAAATGGGCACAAGAAGCTCATGCAGGGATGAGGCAGAGCAGGGGAGGGGTGGCCAGCAGGAAGGAAGTAAGCTCTGGGCTGAGAGGGGGACCCTGGTGAGGGGCTCCATTCTAAGAGACTCCTCTCTCAGGCCAAGTACCCACTGCCTGCACCCCATACCCTGAGGGGGGCAGCCGGTTCTACATGGAGCTTCCCCTCAGTCTTCGTGGAAGAGTCTGGAAGCCTTGTTTCAGAGTTCCTCCATATGTACACACATATTGCCCGTAAGCTTGGGAATGCCCAGGAAGTTATGGACACTCTGTCCTCTGCCCGGAGAAGGGCACAACCCTGTTCCCAGCCCAAAGGGATCCAAGAAAAATACTGCAACAGAAGAAAGATGCAACGTGCCCAAGTTCCACTTTTGCTTCACTTTTGGAACTCGAAGAAGTTCCCAGGAGGCTCAGGGAATGTAGGCTTTCCATCCCAGGGCTGACCTTGCATCCCCACCTCCTCACTAGCTGGAGAGTGAAGGAGATGTATAGGCACATCCTCAGACTGACCAGTATGAGGCCAGGGTCACAGCAACGGCTGAACCTGTAAAACGACCTCGTGGAGAAATTGCCAGGGCCCCTGGGGTCAGGGACTGGATGTCCTCTCACCACCTGGGTTCCTGCCACTGGACCTATGCCTAAGTACACTGAGACAGCAGGGGACAGGCTGGGCCACCAGAACATCTCACGCACACAGCCCAGAACAGCCAGAACTTGGCCAGGTGTGCCCCGTCCTGCCAACTGGAAGTTCAAGCCTTCTCTTTAAAGGGTAGCTGGTGCTGATTGTGACGGTGGCTTTCAACAAAGCCTCAGAGTAGAAGCAGCCACTTACAGGCACCAGAGCAGGAAGAGCCCCTGGTGCCTCAGTGGCCAGGCAGGGATGGGGGAAGGAGGCCAGAACTCCTAAATAGGTTCCCCCAAAGGAAATCGTCTTGTTTTACTAGGACCTCCCCCAAGACCAACCAGAGTATGAAGCAGAATCCTCCCATCCAGCCGAAGGTTCACTTCCCAGAGCTTGTTATCCTGGGTGACTTCGGCCCCAGCCTAGCTAAAGGGCCTCCTTGGGGGGAAGAGGGAACATCGTGGAGTGTGGTCAGCAATGCACTGATCTGTCTCCATCTCCAGTGACAAGTGCTTGCCGGACAGTCACTCTGTGCCTGGGCTCTGCTTAGGCCTTTGCAGGAGACCGGGGTGAGCAGGAGGTGGCCAGCTCACGCCAGAGTCCCAGGGCCAGCTGAGTTGGCCAAAATCTCAAAGTAGGTGCTTAGGTTAGGGGACTTCCCAGAGCAAGTAGGGAGACCCCAGTCCAAGGGAAGGAGTGTGTTCCACTCCCAGGCCTGTGCGTGCGAAAGTGTGGGTGTGAGTGTGTCGTATTCCGAGCACAGAAAGTCCACATCGATTAGAGCAAGGGCTGAGCCAACGGGCCATAGAGAGAGGATGGACAGAGCTTTCCGAGGGTCCTTTCCCCGTGACTTAATGACAGCGAGGTTGCACGGGGGCGAGGGGCGGTGCTGTGGGGTTCCCGGCTCTTCCATGGAGCAGGTGGCCACCTTTCGAGACCTTCCAGGTCATATCAGGAGGTGAGACACTGAGAAGCCATCATCAGCTGGGAACCAGTGGGACCACATCTTGCTGCACTCCCATTTTCCATATGGGTAGGGCGGTGGAGGGGCACTCACACTGAGCCGTGCCTCCCTGAACTGAGCCCAACCCAAGTGCCCTCCAGCCCGGGGGCCCAACCGTCCAGAGCCCGTGAGCAGGTCCTTGGGAGCCACGTGGTACTTCTGTCACTAATACTGTCCTCTCTGCTTTTCAGGAATAAAGTTCAGCATCAGGCCGCAGCAGCCCTACAACGTGAGTTCTGAGAGTCATAAATCTCCGCACCGGCCGCCTGGGGAGAGTTGGGGAGGGCAAGGAAGAAACTCTGGAGCTCATGTCAAATCCATTCTTGGAAAGAAAAACATGCCCGGTCCTTCCCAGGAGCCCCGGGAACAAAGCCCAGGGCTTTGGAACCATGAATGTCCCCTTCCTGTTAGCTGGCGGCTTTGGACTTGTGCTAATAGATGCGGTAAATCTGAGCCAGCCTCCTCGGGCTGCCAGCTCCCTGCCCGGTCCCGCGCCACGTGGAGGTTCCTGGGAGGCCTGCGCCATCTCGTGGCTCAAAAGACCCTTGCACCTCTGGCCTCAGGACCATGGCCGGCGAGGGGTGGGGGCCTTCGGGGACTGGACCTGGGCTCAGGCCAGAAGGGTCCCATCCCACAGGGTCAGCTGGTCTCCTTCTCCCTCACCCGGAAAAAAAATCTCAGGCCACAGAGGGGGCAGGGACCCCGGCCGTAGTGAGGGCCTGACCTGTGTGACCCTCAGTGCCCTGCTGATAACTGTCCTGCCCCCGCCCCCCCCCGATAACCATTTCTCTTCTTGCCCCAGGACCTCCCACCAGGCAGTTCCCAGGATGGTGACTTGAAGGCACCTACGGAAAAGGTCCCCAGAGACTTGTCCAGCCGGGCCCCGAGGGGCTCCCGCCTGCTGGTGCCTGACCGGCCTCAAGCCCAGCTAAACGTGGGGACCCGGCTCCGACCCCGGCAGCGCCGCCGCCGGCTGCTTATCAAGAAAATGCCGGCTGCAACAGCCATCCAGGCCAACGGCTCGGCCGGCGCCTTGGCGCGGCCGGCACCCTGGGCCCCCGACGGCCACTGGGTCACCCTGCACCACAGCCAGCAGGAGCGCAAGCGGGTGATGCAGGAAGCGTGTGCCAAGTACCGGGCCAGCAGCAGCCGCAGGGCGGTCACCCCCCGCCACGTGTCCCGCATCTTCGTGGAGGACCGCCACCGCGTACTGTACTGCGAGGTGCCCAAGGCGGGCTGCTCCAACTGGAAGCGGGTGCTCATGGTGCTGGCGGGGCTGGCCTCGGCCACCGCCGACATCCAGCACGACACCGTGCACTACGGCAGCGCCCTGAAGCGGCTGGACACCTTCGACCGCCAGGGCATCCTTCACCGCCTCAGCACCTACACCAAGATGCTCTTCGTCCGCGAGCCCTTCGAGAGGCTGGTCTCCGCCTTCCGCGACAAGTTCGAGCATCCCAATAGCTACTACCACCCCGTGTTCGGCAAGGCCATCCTGGCCCGGTACCGGGCCAACGCCTCCCGGGAGGCCCTGCGGACGGGCTCTGGCGTGCGCTTCCCCGAGTTCGTCCAGTACCTGCTGGACGTGCGCCGGCCCGTGGGCATGGACATCCACTGGGACCACGTCAGCCGGCTCTGCAGCCCCTGCCTCATCGACTATGACTTCGTGGGCAAGTTCGAGAGCATGGAGGACGATGCCAACTTCTTCCTGAGCCTCATCCGGGCACCGCGGAACCTGACCTTCCCCCGGTTCAAAGACCGGCACTCGCAGGAGGCGCGGACGACGGCGCACATCGCCCACCAGTACTTCACCCAGCTCTCGGCCCTGCAGCGGCAGCGCACCTACGACTTCTACTACATGGACTACCTGATGTTCAACTACTCCAAGCCCTTTGCGGACCTGTACTGACGGCGGGGGGGGAGGGGGGGCTGGGGGGGGCAGCTGGCCACGGGCAGCCCAGCGCCACGCACCGCACCTGTCCGCAGGGGCGTCCCACGCTCCGGGGACAGGAGGAGCCGTGACTGCTCGGTGCCGCTGGCCCTATGTGGGGGACAGAGGCCCGGGCCTTGGATGGGGGCCTCTGGCCCTTGTCCCATCCCCACTTCCTCACTCTTCAGCTGAGGAAGATGCTGGGGGCTGAGCAGGACCTCAGGAGTCCCAGCTGCAGACACCCAGCTCAGCTAAGAGTCAGGATGACCAGGGAATTCTGAGGCCCAGAAGATGAGGGCCCCAGCGGTGAGGGACTTCCTGCCGTCCCTTCGCCATTGCCTTGTACCAAACCACATGGTTTGCAGCTTTTCTATGACCCAGGGGGGAGGTTCCCTCGGAAGGAGTTTCCAAATAAAGCACATGGTTTCCAGAGTAGCAGTGTTGTGTTGGAATGGGAACACATGGCCCCTTCCCTCTGCTGTGGGGGCTCTTCTCCCTCCCCAGGATGGCCTGAGCCAGGCCTCTGCAGGTCCGGCTGCAGGAAAGGGGGGGAGCGGCCTACGTGGGAGGGGGAGCGGAGGACCCAGGGGCTGCAGCGCCCGTGGCTCAGGCTCCTGGGGCCAGCACTCGGTCACCTGGGGCCTCTGGTCTCAGTACCGGCCCATTTATCCCGAAAGGAGAAACTCCACCTGTCCCTGTGGAGGCCCAATGGGGTCCCTTCCTGTTAGTCACTTTGCCAGGGGCCCTCTGAGGATCTGCCAGAGCTCCCTGGGCAAGCTGCCCTGTGGGGATCCATGGGGCACAGCACAGGGGTCTCAGTGGGTGTGGCATTTCCGGGTGGGGAACGATGCTCTCCCTCTCTCTCAGCGTGGCTTTCTCTCGAAGCTGTCATCTGCAGACCCCCGCCCCTGGCCTTGAGCCCTGGCTCCATTCACCTGACCAGACCACCTTAAAGCTTTCAGGACTGCCCACCCTTGGGGGAGGAGGAAGAGAAGCCCATAGGGGGAACCTCTCCAACAGTGTACCTTTTCCCGTGCAGTAATGGCTCTGAAATTGTCCAAAGCCAAGGTGGTTCTGTGAAAGGTCCCAGAGACAGTGTGTTGGAGCTTTGAGTGGGGCTGAGGCTGTGACTCTGTCGGGTCCCGTTTGTAATGGAAAGTGCTGCCTGTTTCTTTTTTTTCTTTTTTTTTTTTTTTATTTATTTGAGAGAGAGAGA